CACTCCACTTGACAGCTCACTGACAGTGCTGGATTTATACACCAATTTATCATCTCCCGCCTGCAATGCGCAGCTACCTACCCCCCTCCAAATCATCGGTGAACGAAATTGCGGCAGCCACAACCACTGTACGACGAATACGCGGTTATTACAGCTGAAAATGATGATGATTATGAAGGAGGACTAGCTGTCCTACCCTTTCTTTGTCTAGTTGCCGTGCCAACCATAGGAAGCATGAGGGCCGAGATGCTTCCAGGTTGCCCGAACCCAGATGGGAGCAGTGGAAATATAGAGGTCGAGTTCGAACCACGGACTTTCCGATCAGTAATTCGCCCCTTAACCACTGAAACTTCTTGAGCTGAAGGACATACACTATCTGTAGCTTGATCAGAAAGCTTGTTGTCGGAGGCATTGTACACTCGTGCTCGGAGAGATCTTGAGCAGTCCATGTGTTTGCTAGTACAGGCCACATGACGGTATCAACGTGTGAAAACGAAGTCAACCACGGTAGACCGAATGTGCGAAATAGGGTTTCGTTTGTTAAATAAGACAGTGAGCAGAATACATGGAGCTTATTTAACAAGAGCGAGAATGTGGGTGGAAGCCACTGTAGTCAGATGTGATGCTGTGGAATTTTCGCGGTAGGTTAGAGTTCACGTACTTTTCCTTCTATGTAGCCCGAAATCTGACAGGATATGGCACTTAATCGATCGCAGTAGAGTTCGTACCGTCAGCTTGTAGTTTGACTGTTTAGCGGAAGTTTGTTTGTCTTTGTGTGCTGGGCTTCTTTTGGGGACCTTCGCAACTCCCACTGATGACGTCCCACTGCGATACGATACTTCGCTGTGTTCATCTCGTCGCTATTCCAAAGTTTCACCTCTCCTTTCTTGACCACTCTTCTTTAGCACAGGAATTTCTCACCATGTTCTCACCGTCTACTTTTTCTTCAACTCTACTACTGCATCGTTTCCTTATGATTATAATACATTTAGGCACCAGTGTTTACTGCTGGTATATTGCTTTCGATGGTGACCATGTTGACCTGACAGGAGTTCATACACAAATATTGAACAGTATGTGGATTAAAACGCACTTGAAGTGTACGACGGAACATGTTTGGAGAGTGCAGATAGTACGGGAATGCTTTGCTCAAAGGACAAAGTTACGATCATCATCATTATTTGGTATCAGTATTCAGATACCCCTTGGTATCCGCAAGATAATGGTGCGAGTAGGCCGAAATCGTGACAAAAGCCGTAACAGCTGGTAGACCGGTTTTATTTTAGTGTCTTCCTTTTTGACTTGATTGAACTGATATCTGTTTCTTCGTCCGCCTGCTTTATTCTTCAGACTTGTATTCCGTTCGCTGCTCTATTGTCTCTGTACGACCCTCTACCAAAGGACAAATCTGGCCACCCAAAAGTAGGCGATGGTCGACCCAGCTGCACTTGAAGCAGACGCGAAGAATTTCGCAGACGTAGCTGCTACATATGAAGCATCAAAGCAGTATGAAGCTGCCGTCTTTTTTTACACGGTAGGTCTCGCCATTCCGCTGAGCTGATATCTTTCTAGGAGGCTGCACAAGCGCTCATCAATGCGCAAACTGCCGGTTCTAGTACGCCCAACATCAGGGACACAGCACATCGGTATATCAAACGGGCGGAGGATTTGAAAGCCAGGAGTTCTACGAGGGATATCGACGTCGGAGTTGAGGGCCGAAGGCCATCTGTACTTCAGGTATCCCCCCAATGCACATCTAGATACGGAGAGTTTTTAGAATAGTTTATCAAGGGCGAAATTTATCTTCCATGATGCTATAACGGAAGATGAGAAGGGTAATGTTGATGAGGCAGTTGAACTTTATGGAGCCGCAGTGGAGTTACTTTTGTCCTTGGTGAGTCCCGTTTTCCTTCGTTGAGTGTTTTCCATCTTCCTAGCGTGCACAGTCTCCAAACGAAAGTACGATGAAAGAAATCAAGAAGCTGGCAAACGAAGCTCTCAGCAGGTGAGCCAGCCCTGTTGGGACGCATTGTCATCTTCATTTTTCAAAGGGCAGAGATTCTAAAGGATCGAGGAAAGAGCAAACTAACGACTGCACAGGTCACTGCCGGAGCCTCCAAATCTCGACGTAAGGTTTCCTGTGTTGAACAGCCTGGTATTCTCTTTCTTCCAAATCAGAGACAGGCTCAGAATTGGCTCTTTTTATGTTATATATGCATACATAAATATTTTTGTAATTTTTTATTCCCAGTTTTTGTTTTTTTCTTATGCAGCCCCGAAACTTTACCGTAGGATTGGTTTTTGTGTACAACCGCTACAACCGTCACTACCTCTAAAAGTGATTTTAATGGGACTGATTATTCCTCTTCCTCCCATAGCAACATCTCATAGACAAGTATCGGCAAGATGATCCATCAGGAAGTCCTTTACTGCAACTGATGATTACAACTAATCAACTAGAATCAGTATGACAGTCACTTCAAAAAACAGTCGTTTTTTACAACCCTCTTAACATATCCCTTGTTGACAAGATAACGAAGGTTTACGGAATAAGAACCCGTACAGCAATCACCTATTCGCCTACAAAAGATAGACATAACGAAGACTTTCGTCGTGAAGACGTGACCTCCCGATTGCAAGCTTATTTGATCCCGTAACCCCATGCTATGCCATGCCACGATAGAAAACAATAGAAAATGGGACCTGAAACAGCGAGGTAGATAATTATCCTGATTAAGCTTCACGATGACACTCACTTCAACGGTGTCCAGTTTTGAAACTGGCCACATGAACCCCTTCGGAAATGAAGAGCCCAATCTGTCAAGTGCTGTAGTTTGGTGTTCATCAGGAGAAGGCGTGATAACTGTAGCGGGATAAATAAAAGAAAAGGCTTCCATAAGCAACGCACAACTGGTTGATAAGTGTATCCAACCGAAAGACACATTTTGCATTCGTAACTATGCTTAATTGGAGCACAGTAGTCACTACACTTTCTTCCACTCATGAGATTCTTGAAGACAGATGAAGGACTTGAAACAACGCACATACCAAGATAAACTGAGCAAAACAACATATTACATGGATGGAGGTATGGAGAGGGCGAAATTCACTGTTGAAAAACAGCCTCATCTAGATTGGTTCAGGTGAACTGATGTGCCTTTGACATGATGTACAGAAAACTTAACTTCATCCCAATGGGCTGTGCTTTCATGGTGGCTCCGTGCTAGTTTAGGTAGAAAGCTTTTTCACTAAAAATTTAACTGACTGTATTAGATGACAAACAAGTAGTAGCAGATATATGTCAGCATTTCATCGACGTCCCTCACCTTTGCATAGCCGATCATTCGGTCGAAACCACACACCCTACGATTTTCGGAAATACAGAGGGTTTTAAGGGACCAACGTCCCATGGATCTGGGCATTGCCGGAGTGGCTTTTTTTCACTGCTTTTTCATGCCTTTGGTCAGCTCCTGGTGGGTAAAGCGCGTGAGTGGAAGTGAATTACTATCTTTATTAGAGACCAGCAATCTATATCCATTTTGAGCCAATAATAATCGATCAACTGCATAGCTGTTGTGCTACTCGAAAGATGCATGAGGGCTGAGATACCGCTGGGTTACCCAAGCCTAATCAGAAACAATCGGGAAGCCAGGTTCGGTTTCCGTCACTGCCTAAGGTTCACACTCCTGTCTCAAACGTCACGTGACCGTAGACCTTACGTGTGCGAATGGTTACATCAAGCAGACTATTAAATAGATGTTTTTGTCGTTTCATTAATTGGGGAGACAGTCACCCTATTGGTATTTTGCACCACTCAGGGCAAGTTATATGTAAGAACTTGCATTCGTTGAATTAAAAGGTAAAGTCGAAAAAAATCGTCCAGCTGTAATGTCCTTTTGGTGCCCATCTGTCGTGCCATCCGAAGGAGGCACGAGAGCTCGCGTACTGCCAGGTTGCTCAAGCCTAGACAGGTGAAGTCAAGAGGCAAAGTCGGGTTCGAACCACGAACCTTCCGGTCAGTAAATTCACACTCTAATCACTGAGCCATCTCGCCCTTTAAAAGATAAGCATGAAGGCATTCCATATCTTGAATCTTCTATGATCCGAACGTGCTGAAAGCCAGCTGGGATATTAAATGACAGTGACACCTTTATTGGTGTTCCATTTAGTATAACATAATCACTGGTAAAACGGATGTTTCAGATGCTGTGCTGTGTTTTATGGGAGTTTAAACCTTGAAATTCTCCCAAGGAGAGGCCCCATCGGCTGGCAGGGGGTACCCGCTTTCGAAGAGGCCTGCATTAAGTTGTCCGGACCTGGCGCCTTTTTCGCTCCAGAAGTTAGACTCCCTACTTCACATGTTCTCGTGTTGGACAATTTTCTCCACATACAGTGTTTCAGGAGACCATCTAAAATGTTTTTTTTTACAGCATTCTACCCATCTTCCCCACAGTAGCCTGTAAGAACGAGTTGCTGAGTTGTCCTTTTCATCTACCGCTTCGCTGACATTTATTTTCCTTTGACCGGTGACAAAAGCCTCCTCCATTTTCTGAGATCTCGCTGGCCACCAGAGCACTGGGTTTTTCCTTAGACTCTTCAATTTATGGTGTAGACCGTCGTACTGGTATGTTTATATCCCAGCGACAATCAGGTTTAGCCATCTTGACGGCATCCACTAGTCATTTGATCGTCTCGGGCAAGTCGGACAGACCGCTTTGAAGGCTACCAGCATAGCTCCTTTTTCTATCTTGACATGCTTCTTCCATGTGCTGTGTTGATTTACCGCGAAGAGCAGTTTCGCTAGCTCAGATGGATATTTCTGAGTCAGGGCAGTTCTACAATGATGGGCTTCTATGCCGTTTGCCCACTTGAAATGTTATGACTAATTGTCATAATTGCTTGCATTATGCCGTGGCCGGATTCAAGTTTTTTCCACAAGGAACGGTTGTCTTTAATCGCATCTCTCCAATGATTAGTGACATCCAAGTGATCCAACTCGATCTACGGTTACTGCACACCATTCTCTGACTGCCTAGTTACACCGTATGAGCGTCCGGGTTGAAAATTCGTGCTGGTCGGGGACAGTTAGCGTAAGACCGGTGGAATTATGCCGTCTGTGCGCCGACCATCAGCTCTGAATTTCAGACGAGAAACTTGCTTTATCATGTCATCTGTACAAATGACAATGCGAGCGCTGTTTTGTTTGGTGACCAGTAAGGATGAATTTCGATTGAACGTGCCGTCAGCATCAGAACTCCGCTCCTACGAAACATGAGCTGACACTACAACTACGGACCCGTTTTGAGTTATATAACGGAACGACGCCAAGACGATTGTTCACTGGCGTGCTTTGGGCTCTTGGCTGAGTGCAACTCCCACGCGTCATCGCTTCATGATCACTAGACACCCTGACCCTATCGCATGAAAAAATGAGTCCTATTTAGGTGATTTAAAATGTTTAACCAATGTGAGTTTTGTCTACGTTTCTCGGATAAACAACATATATCAACTTTAAGAGGGCGTGAGAAAAAATCACTCGGAGCATAGCTGTTACTTCATCCGAAGGAATTACAATGGCTGAAGACAGGATTGAAGCTAGCCTTCTGTGTTTACCAATGTGATGGGATGTGACCGTGGAAGCTCCTATGTAGCGCCGGGTTTATTGAGCCTCATTTTGATTGGATTGGATAAGCAGATAGCTGAAACTCAAATAATTCGGCGACGGGTGCCTTCAGGGTGGAAAGGAAATAGAAGTTGCATAAGTGAACATTATACCATGTGAACAAGTGATACTCACCGGTTGTCCGGCCCTAAGGAAGAATTTTAGTTGAGATAATCCACCGTGGTTCTTTTACTCATTAGTATAACCGAGATGGCTCAAGTGGTTAGAGCGCGAATTTACTGACGAAGGTTCGTGGTTCGAAACCGACCTCTGCCTCCCGACTTCTCGTGTCTAGGCTTGGGCGACCTGGCAGTATCCCAGCACTCGTGCTTCCTTCGGGTAGCATGGCAGCTAGCCACCGGAAGGGTGTTACAGCTGAACGATAACCGATAATATAGCATTGTTTGCTCACTCGTCTGGGATTTTCCGGAGGTAAAATTTGAATTGTACATGTACGTTTTCATAAGCGTTGCTGTGCTCAGCTGCAGTATTGTCCAGTCAAAATGACTAAAGTTCTACCGAAAGATCGGGATGATCTTTTTGCGGGATGTATATTCGTACTGGTGGTCTTGATGCATCTGAGGATAATCATTAAATATCCTTCTGCGCAGTGTGTTCAGGCGCAAAACCCCAGAAACACGCATTACAAAAGAAAAACACAATTCACTTGCTGATGCTTGTCCTTCTTCTGTTCGTTATTCTCAGTGAGACTGCGGACATTTTCAGAGCATTTATGATGTATCTGTTTGAATGGTATTTTGAAAGTGAAATCGATTGCTGCTCTATGTCTAACAAAAGGATTTGGTAGTCTTGCTAACGTAGATAACTGTTAATCCAATCCTTATATGCGCTGCCTTGTCTTCAGAAACTGGCGGCTATTCGGCAGAGGAGTTGAAAGTCCTCAAGGCGACTTCGACTATCAACGGCAGGGAATATCCACCTTTTCTGGACTTTATCGATCTACGCATGCGTTTCGCCTTCCCTAAACCCTACACGTACGTTTTGTTCACGTTAGAACCTGTTTACGATATCGGGGAAGAATTTGCGTTGACATACAGCGTTTTTTTCGTTTCCGAAACGAACGTCCCCACTCGCATGCTCTCTTGCATCATGAACATCATTGTTTCAAATCTTGTTTCCAACACACCCATGTGGGTCTAATCGCCTTGGCTCTGCATTTCGCTTTGTTTTAACTAATTGGTTTGAGAACTCCAATTATACTATCATTTATTTTTGAAGGGCATGGTCACAAACATAAAAAATGAATGCAAGCGATGAATGCGAAAGAGTAACAGGAGAATATGGGAGAAAAGAGAGAAACGTCTCATTCGAGATCATGCCAAGGGCAGTGCCAGTCTGATGAGGTGAATCCCAAAGTATGTAAAGATTTTGGTATGGGAACACGCGTCTAAAGACCAACAACCAAAGAAAGGACAAATAATGGTGAATGCTCTTCAAGGCGCAGTGTGCGCTAGCACAGTCAAGACTCGCACATCAGGCAACAAAGTGTCCGTCATACTGGGTCTGGTGTGAGATTAAATGGCAAAAATGTTCCTTCAACGCCATGTGCCACACATAAAGGTGTAAGTAGTTGTCGGATTTGTATAACTTATTTACATCACCGTCGTCCGATCAGTCGTCCACTTATTTTGAATTGCTGTGTGATTCTTCGTAGCCGGAGGTCTCACTCCTTTGTATTAAGAGTAATATGAGTGATCGATTGCTATTAGGAAAGAACAGAGGGTCACATGATAGGTCACATGATAAGTAGCCCACACTCGCGAACGAATCATCGTTCACCAACGCATTATCTTGCGTGACCCAATTAGAACCATACGTTTTCTGTCTGTAGTCTGTGATTGTCAAACTTTCGGTTGTTTGTCAACCGTGGAGCAGTATTTTGCTCTGGATTCAGCCACCTGAATTGCACTCATGTACATAATGGGTGATACTAATGGGAAGTTTTTTGAACACACGTTATTCGTCGCTTCGTCTCACGCATACCTAATTCGAGGCCGATTCGACTACTCATAACTGGGTCCCATGTGAACCGACTTGACGTTCGAAAGGTGCGCCCTCACCTCAGGAGAAGTGGTAGGGACAGTTTCCCGCTTTTCTGAGCTTCCTCATCGACAAATTTCTCACTGCTAAGTTCAAAATGCCATAACGGCAAATCAAACTTCCCGATCGGCTCGGTTCTGCACTGTTCATATTTTCCATATTTTTTGCCCTCCGAAGATTCGTTCCCAATTAATTTTCCACTAAGTTTGAATCTTTTTTGCTTTCATTTTCGATTGCAGAGACAAACATGGGATGTTAGCTCTTTCGGAGAAACAGAAACGTCAACTGGACCGCTGGGTTCGCCCTTCGGACTACCTCGAAAATCCTAAAATGATAATGGCTATTTCCTGTTTCTCAATACGTCAGACTGTGGTGACCGACTGTTCTTTCGTTGCATCCATGGCGATTGCGGCGCAGTATGAGCGTCGTTTCAAAAAGCGCTTGATCACAAAGTGAGTATCTTCTGATAGGCATGGGATTAACACCCAGCGATGTCAGCTGTCTGCCACACAATTTTTTTTTCAAACTACTCATACGAGTCACAACGTGGACAGTGTCGGACTGTGCAGATCTATGGGACTGTCATTGGCCGTTATGTTAGTGTTGTGTCTTGCTGAACGGTAGTGCAACTCTGTATCGATCCCTTGGCTTCCTGCTCCGCCCACTATGGTGTATCAAAAGGTACGGCAGTTCCAGACAACTGTCTTACAACTGTATTTATAGGGTAGTCACAGAGTGTCCCCACAAGGTCGTGCTAGAATCTCCGCGAGGGGACGAGAAGCGTCGAGTCAAAGATGCTCAGCTCGGATTGGCTGGCATTCTGATCAATCGGGGCATGCCTTCGTTTGGTCCGTGTTCTATACGTCACACATCCGTCCAAATGATGTGATGTTCGGTTATTAGGGACGGTTGGCCTCCGGATAGTTAGACCATCAGCAACTTGTGGATGGGGGGGGGTTGGTAGAATCATCTGTTCTGCCATTCCTCCTCTCGTACAGTGACTCTCTGCCAAATTTCCCCAATAGGCCTACAGCGACCTGATTAACAGCCAATCAAGGACTGTCGATATCTTGACATATTGCCGATCATCATCAGTATCATCACTTACGGGGAATGTTTCTCTCTCAATTCGTCACTTGTGTCGGTAAAACTTGTGACACTTTCATGTGACCCGATATCCTCGTTACTCATCCGGACAGTCTTGATTGAACATTGCACTAACTCAAGTGTTTGGTTGTTGAGGCATCTTGAAATGGTTTGTCTATGAAAGAGAAATTTCGGGCTAGGTTTAAGCCTTAGTTTGTATTGATGGTTCTGATTGTTTGTAACTGTCAGGTTAAGCCTGTTATCCAAATTAAAAACCGAGAAACAGTCAAATCGGAAATAGTCTCACCATACGTGCAGTGCAAAACCAAGCAAGAACAAACCGAAGAAGTAACCACAGATGGAATACTTAAAGTTCGATTTTCTGCAAGATGTCAGCCGTAACGCTAATGATCACCCGACTTTGGTGTCAAGTTTACCTATATGCATTCGAAATGTGAGTAGAATTATCGATCCGATGTTGCTGTCGTGGTTCGTTTAGGGAAGGAGCACTGTATCAATGAGCCATAGTAGTATTTTTTGCAAGTATATTAAGGTCGCTGTATTAGTAGCGGTTTGATTTTCTGCTTCTCATAAAGAACCGCGTTCAGGGCGAGAGGATTTTGAAACATCTCTCTGTGAAAGAGAACACATTCGGAATCTGACTTTGTTAAGAGTTTTTTTTTCGCACTTTCTGGATCCTGTAAAAAACATTATACAGTGGCATTCAAGATGGTGTCTGTTATCGAAGAAATGTGCGGCTGAGCATTATTGAGCTGATCCAAAAGGATTGAGGCGCGCGGTGCTAACTGCGATAGTTTGGTGTGACTGTTTTGTCTAGGCATGTCTAGGCGAGATGGCTCCAGTGGTTAGAGCACGATGTTGCTGACCGGAAGGTCCATGGTTCCAACCCGACGTCTGCCTCTCGACTTCCCCTACCTAGGCTTTGGCAACCCTCGTGCTTCCTTCGGGTAGCATGGCAGTTAGGCACTGGAAGGGCGTTACAGCTAACCGACTTTTTTAGGCATAAACAACCTGCCATTTGGCTGACTTGCCCTGCACGGCAACGAACTCTGGAATCCTCAATCGTCGAAATTAGGCGTCTCTGATTTGAAAACACCCTGAGGAAGATCAGAGTAACTTGGATTGGAATGATTCATTAAAACGTAACTAGGACACATTTTCTCGTGTGCCGGTGGTTGTAATTTAAATGTTAACTTTGTCCGACATAGCCGAGTGACATCAAGTTTTGTGGGACACAGATTGCACACATAAATAATGACCCAACTATTCACATGGTTGCTCAACCAATATCCGTGTACACAGTAGTGACCGGTAATTTGTTCGGCCGAGGCCGAACAAGGACTCAAAGAAGAAATCAGTAGAAAAACAAGCTGCTAAAAATAGGAGGTACACTAGAAACCAACAGAAGCCGACCACGACGCAATACAGATCAAGCACGGGCCAACCGAAAGAGACAATAACGGGCGGCAATTTCAGCAGTAGCGTGGCCGTAGGAAGCAGGGAATACAAACTACAACTCAACACAGATTAAGATCGGACAAACCAGAGTCCAGGTTGCAGCACAGAGGCTGCTCTTTGTAAACTATAGAAACGCAGGCACGAAGAAAGGGACTACCCAACCAACAGCGCACTGAAGATGTCTCCTCGAACGGTGACGAAACGTTTGCAAATCAATTGCCAAGCTCGGCGAACAGATCAATAGCCACCTGATCAGTTACCAACAGTAGTGACTGATGACCTGTGTGCGTATTTATGATGTACCGTAGTTTTCTTTAGCTTCCTGCTTTCGAGCTCCAAATCATTGTCCGGTAACTTGAGTAGCTGGTTATTTGCACCATGTGGGTTTATCTTCCCCCTGGTTCACAAATGAAGCTTTATTATGGTAATCAGACTCAATTGTTCCTTGTTCGCATTCACTCTGAGATAGGACACCCTTCAATGACCCTTTCTTCGTAATCGGCCATCAGTTTTTTGCTGATTGTCTGTACTTTCCACCTCATACTACATCAGTATAATATACCCCCAATCTCGGGATGGTGAAGCTGTCTACAATCCTTGTGGAATGTACATGGTTCGTTTTCACATTAATGGAGTACCAAGAAAAGTAAGTCCTTCACAGCTTCATTTTGATTCGGTTGTCATTTATTCTTTTGTCGAGTCATTAACTATATGCTCACCGCATCCTGCTGGTGAGGGTGACTCAGTCTTCAGCTTTGAGTCGAACCATGGCGTTGATCTCACTGGCGTTGGGTATATCTATCCTGGATAGATCTGTATGTCTGAGCTCGCAATTATCGGGCACGAACTTACTGATCGGGAAGTCCACTCTTCGAACCTAACCTCTGCATCTTGACTAATCTTGCTTAAACCTTGGCAGCCTGGCAGTATCTCTGCCCTCGTGCTTCTTTCGGTTAGTATGACAGCTAGGCACCAAAAGGATGTTACCGCTGGTCGGTTATTACTGATTATATTGTTTTTTAACTTTAACACTCATAGCCTGATGAGACATGGAGGCCCCGTCAACCCCCATAGTTTTCTTGTTCAACAGGGCTTATTGCTTTATTACATCTATTAGAACCTCAGACTTGGATGTAAACCAAAGTCTAGATACTGCAAACGAAAAAATCAAGTTTTCAGATGGAACACGGACCCGTGACCTCGATTGCCGCACTAGTGTTCCACAAACTGAGCTACCAAGGACCTTGCCCCACATTGCGCATGTGCACTTGTGCTCCACACTGCTTCGCCACACAGCTCTGTCCATTCCATCGACAACTGATGTCTGTCGGCGTCTTTAGCCAATCTCTCGAGTGACTTCCACAGTATTGCCCGGATACCCAAAGGGATTCGGAGTAACATGAAAGAAACGGGGGTTTGTGCGACTTTGAATATGTACCCGAATACACATAATGTAAGTCAAGAGACGGTCCTTGGACGGGGCCGGGGCCTACAACAACTCACTTACCGAATCAGTGCGGAACTCAGGTACGCATGTGTTACGTGGGACAGTCGATAAAGCAACCGCCCTTCCGGCAGGCTAGAATCCGAATTCCGTCCGTGAACTCTGCGCTTGTGTTCGTATTGTGTCAGCTTCATGTTTAAGGAACTCAAGTTCCACAATTCTTCTATCTTGGAACATCATATATGTGCATGTGTATTTCCCATTTCCCGCTTATGCTTCGGTGTAACCTGGCTTGTGAAAGAGGTCTAACTATTGTGTGCACTAAAGGAATTGTATTTTGACGGGTCGTCGAGTGTTTGCAGATTGTTGGCCGTTCTTCCATCCCTTTGTGAAGTCGTCTCCATTCGATGACATGACGCTTACGACCATTTTTCAGGTGAGGAAAGCTAGTACACAGGACACCGATGTTGTTCACGGAGTTCATAACTACCTGAAGCAGTGTATCCAGAGTGTACCAAAACACAGCCCACACACAAAAATCTTTCTGGTAGAAATTGATCGAAACGGGGAAGCCTCATTTGTGCAACTCATATCCCGAAATGATGTGGTTATCATCTTTGAATCTGGGAAGACTTAATGCTGTTTATCCCAGGTTCTCGAAGTCGTTATCGTTGTTTAGTTTAGCGTTAAGAAATCCACCCTTATGGCAACCGATACTGATGAAGCTGGCTATAAAGAGGAATTCCTTAGCTCAGGCGAGATGGCCCAAGTATTTAGAGCACGAATTTACTGACCGGAAGGTCCGTGCTTCGAACCCGACCTCTGCTTCTCGACTTTCCCTGTCAAGGCTTGGGCAACCTGACAGTATCCCACCTCTCGTGCTTCCTTCGGGTGGCATGGCAGTTAGGGTCCGGAAAGGTGCTACAGCTGAACGATTTAGCTCAGGTGACGTATGTGGCATGTCCCTTGGTTTTTTTTAGAAACGGGTAACTGAAACAAGGTCACCTGCTTCCTTATCGACCTGATGCTTTTGTATGCTTAGCTCTGTAAGCGAAAGTCTATTGTTTATTTTTTACTGGCTCGGAAATTTGACCGGTTGTATCGACTGCTGTTTTCCCGTTTGACGCTTGATTACACCCCGAAGTACCTAACTCGCTTTCAGTTTGCCTTAGTTTTTGTTGAACGAATGACTTAGCCTCGAGTATAACCGATTTCTGAGTCTCTTTGTGCAGCGATGGGTATTGTTGAGTTGGGTTGGTTTACTGTGAACTGCTACTCGTTTTAAATAAGTTGTCATCGGTTCTACTTTTCCTATAGGTAGTGATCGACGATTATCTACCAATGGCCCGAAATGGAGAGCTTCTCTGTTCGTTTTCTACCAACCGAAGTGAATTGTGGGTTTCTCTGCTTGAGAAGGCTTATATGAAAGTGATGGGTGGTTATGATTTCCCTGGCTCCAACTCAGTAAGTAATTTGCGTGTCAACGTATTGTTCTTTCCTGCCCACGGCTTGTCAAGTATGTGCACATAGAGTGGTGTGGTGGTGATGTACTAGGGGGCGAAATGGCCCAAGTAGTTACAGCGCGAATTCGCTGACCGGAAGGTCCATGGTTCGAACCTAACCTCTGCCACTCGACTTACCCTGTCTAGGCTTGGACAACCTGGCAGTATCCCAGCCCTCGTGCTTCCTCCGGGTGGCATGGCAGCCAGGCACCGGAAGGGTGCCACAGCTGAACGATGTACTAGACCTCTTACGGTCCTCTAGTTTGACTTGATACAACTGGATATTGTCTAATGTGACGTCGTACTGACGACGGGGAAAGTCAGCTTGTGATTTTAAGAGTAATGGAACCTGTTGTAACTAACTACTGTCCCTGCTCCAGTGCCTTGGTTTCGGAAAAGGACTTGCCAACAAGGAACACAAAAGCTTTATTACGAGCAAGCGAGTGCAAAAGCTACAAAGGGCCTCGTGGTATTTGAAGGATTGTTTTGACATTGATCCAGGCTGTCTCATCGGAGTCTGAGGAACACTCATACTTGTCGGTTGTGCTTCGATGAAACGCCTAAGTACTTACCGTCGGTTGTGTTCTTGTGGCGTACCTGAACAGTCATCGATCGTTGCTGAATTGATCGTTCGATCAGCAGCTGACTTTTCTGGTCTGGGTGTTTGATGGCTTCTCTACCACGATTTTGGTGGGGTTTGAGGGTGTCAGTAGGCTTCGGGCATTCTGGGACTATTTTCAAGAATCTGACCTTCCTCACAGAACCCCGCCGTTATGAGGGAACGTTCTTTTTCTGTCCTGTTTAACCTTTGTACGACCTTCAGTCGCGGATTGTTACATGGTTTGTGAGAACATTACCGTGGTCTGTGAAAAGCCAGAGGATTTCTTCCCTCCATCCCTTCCGTTGAGTAGTTAGAGCGCGAATTTACTGATCAGAAGGTCCGTGGTTCGAACGCGACCTCTGCTACAAAGGCCTCGTGGTATTTGAAGGATTGTTTTGACATTGATCCAGGCTGTCTCGTCGGAGTTTGAGGAACACTCATACTTGTCGGTTGTGCTTCGATGAAACGCCTAAGTACTTACCGTCGGTTGTGTTCTTGTGGCGTACCTGAACAGTCATCGATCGTTGCTGAATTGATCGTTCGATCAGCAGCTGACTTTTCTGGTCTGGGTGTTTGATGGCTTCTCTACCACGATTTTGGTGGGGTTTGAGGGTGTCAGTAGGCTTCGGGCATTCTGGGACTATTTTCAAGAATCTGACCTTCCTGACAGAATCCCGCCGTTATGAAGGAACGTTCTTTTTCTGTCCTGTTTAACCTTTGTACGACCTTCAGTCGCGGATTGTTACATGGTTTGTGAGAACATTACCGTGGTCTGTGAAAAGCCAGAGGATTTCTTCCCTCCATCCCTTCCGTTGAGTAGTTAGAGCGCGAATTTACTGATCAGAAGGTCCGTGGTTCGAACGCGACCTCTGCATCTGGACTTCCCCTGTTTAGGCTTGGGCGACCTCGTAGTATCCCAGCCTCATGCTTCGGCAGCATGGCAGCTAGGTACCGGAAAGGTGTTACAGCTGAGAAATTTTTTTCGTTGAGTAAACGATAATAGAAGGACTTGGCTTGAAAAATGCAACGCCTCAAGAGAAAAATGGCAGTGAATACTTCGTTTCATGAAACGCTACAGGTCGCATGCATTTTGAGTGGTCAAAAACCTTCAGTGAACTGTAGCAGACGAGTGTTGTGGCTCAGATAGCTTTAAGACGCAGTCTTCATTCGTACTTCGTGAGACTGCTTTGCAAATCGCGACTTTCTTCGGGATTACAGTGTGTACTAGGTTGAATCATACCGGATTAAGGTATTGATGAAGTACTTAGATGTCCAGTTCTAAAGAATCCCGGCTGACTTCCAGTGTATTCGAAGGTGCATTCTGAGGGTCTGTTCGTAGGCCAGCCGTCCCTAATAACCGAACATCACATCATTTGGACGGATGTGTCACGTGCAGCACATGGACCAAACGAAGGCATGCCCTGAGTGGTCAGAATGCCAGCCAATCCGGGTCGAGCATCCTTGAGTGGGCGCTTCTCGCCCCCTCACGGAAATCCTGGCACGACCTTGTGGACCACTTTGTGACTACCCTATAAATACAGATGTAATGATTCTCCTTTTGCCTCCATAAAGGGCTGTGTAGAGCTACCGTTCCTTTTGACATACCATAGTGGGCGGAGTAGGAAGCCAAGTGACCGATACAGAGTTGCACTACCGTTCAGCAAGTCACAACACGGTTTGCGTGCTCGGCGAACGAGCGAGTTGCGTATACATGAATGAGAACCTAGGTCGTTTCGTAGGAGTGGGGCGCAGACAACAGGCACTCCCGGACATCACTATACCCGCTAAAAGCACTCTGTGCCCTTGTTTGCTCGTTTCTTGAATGGTAGAGACTCGATTGCAGGTGTCTGGAATTTCCTCCATCACAGTAATTGGTGAAGAAGGTACTGGATTAGCGAATATACACTCACCTGGAACCCAGCCGAATATCTCGTTTGTGATGTTCTCAGGCGACTGATTGTGCTGCACCAGGCCGCCTCATGTTTCAGCCGCTGCGCTTACCTGATGAGCCCCAAAAAGCGAAACCGGTCGTGGGCTGTCGACGGATTTTCAGCAACCTTATGAGTAGTACATTACGAAGATACTGGATTGTCTTTGTTTCTCGTTCTACACGATGACGTTCTTCGGTTTGATTCCCGGTAAGCTGCCGGAATAATATGTCTTTTACCATACTATTTATGGCCGACCTGTGTTATACGTTGGCATGCTACTATTTATGGCCGACCTGTGTTATACGTGGGCATGCTACAAAAGCGCAACTCAAATCGTGTCCCTGAAGAGAATGCGTTTAGAAGGCCAGCACTATTTTACTCAGGTGCGCAAAAGTTCAATTTATGTCCTTCTAGTTCACCTATTGTTTTATCCATCTTAAGGACTAATTTCCTAGTTTTGACATCAGAATTTGCTATTTCTATCTCCCTCCCTGTCGTCTCCTTCCATCAGGGTATCGACTTGCATGCTCTAACCGGCTGGATCCCTGAGCGAATCAGTATCCGATCGAACAGTATGAGTTTCAACAAAGACCGCGAATTTCGCCGCCTGCTAAGCCGTTTTCATCGGGGACACTGTTTGTGTACTGTGGCAACGGGCGAAATGACCGAAGACGTAGCTACACGTGCTGGTTTGGTGCCATCCCACGCCTATGCAATGCTGGATATACGGGAGATTGATGTGAGTCACACTATCCCCATTACTGAAATGTGCTTACACTTTTATGTTCATCAAAGTGCTTTACAATTAATTGACAACTTCCCACATCCTTTACACGCTACCAACCAACCTCTGATGAACTGTGCTCATGAGGTGACTGCTAATCGATTTCATCAGTTGTACTCCTTCCCGTATTTTTCCAAGTGTGGGTTGTACGATGATTCCTTGATTTGGTATCCAGTACCTCTGGGGGCCCTCAATACCTCAGTGGTTAAGGTGTGAACTTACTAACTGAAGGCCNCTGGATATTGTCTAATGTGACGTCGTACTGATGACGTGAAGAGTTAGATTGTGACTTTAAGAGTGACGGAACCTGTTGTAACTAAATACTGTCCCTGCTCCAGTGCCTTATTTTCGGAAAAAGACTCTCCAACAAGGACCACAACAGCTTTATTGCGAGCAAGCGAGTGCAAAAGCCACAACGGGCCTCGTGGTATTTGAAGGACTGTTTTGACATTGATCCAGGCTGTCTCGTCGGAGTTTGAGGAACACTCATAATAGTCGACTGTGCTTCAATGAAATGCCTAGACACTCATCACCGTCGGCTGTTTTTGTGGCGTGGCTGAACAGTCGTCAGACGTCGCTGAGTTGATCAGAAGCTGGCTTTTCTGGTCTGAGTGCTTGATCGCTTCTCTACCACGATTTTGGTGAGGTTTGAGGGTAGGCTTAGGGCATTCTGGGACTATTTTCAAAAATCTGACCTTCCTGACAGAATCCCGCCGGTATGAAGGAACGTTCTTTTTCTATCCTGCTTAACCTTTGTACCACCTTCGGTCGCGGATCGTTACATGGCTTGTGAGAACATTACCGTGGTCTGTGAAAAGCCGGAGGATTTCTTCCCTCCATCCCTTCCGTTGAGTGGTTAGAGCGCCAATTTACTTATCGGAAGGTCCGTGATTCGAACCCGACCTCTGGCGCTCGACTTCCCCTGTCTAGGCTTGGGCGACCTGGCAGTATCCCAGCCTTCATGCTTCCTTCGGGTAGAATGGCAGCTAGGCACAGGGTGCTACAGCTGGTAGATTTTTTTCCGTTGAGTAAACAGTAATAGAAAGACTTGGCTTGAAAAATGCAGCGCCTCAAGAAAAAAATGGCAGTGATTACTTCGTTTCATGAAACACTACAGGTCGCATGCATTTTGAGTGGTCGAAAACCTTCAGTGAACTGTATCAGGCGAATGTTGTGGCTCAGATAGCCTTAAGACGCAGTCTTCATTCGTACTTCGTGAGACTGCTTTGCAAATTGCGCAGTGTGTACTAAGTTTAATCATACCGGATTAGGGTATTGATGAAGTACTTAGATGTCCAGTTCTAAAGAATCCCTGCTGACTTTCAGTGTATTCGAAGGTGCATTCTGAGTGTCTGTTCGGGGGCCAGCCGTCACTAATAACCGAACATGACATCATTTGGACGGATTGTCACATACAGGACATGGACCAAACGAAGGCATGCCCTGATTAGTCAGAATGCCAGCCAATCCGGGTCTAGCATCCTTGAGTGGACGCTTCTCGCCCCCTCACGGAAATTCTGGCACGACCTTGTGGAACACTCTGTGACTACCCTATAAATACGGGTGTACTGATTCTCCTTTTATCTCTATAAAGGGCTGTGTACAGCTACCGTGCCTTTTGATATACCATAGTGGGCGGAGCAAGAAGCCAAGGGACCGATACAGTCTCTTGTGTGCACAATTTGATATTTTAGTGAAATGTACAACAAACTTTCAAACACATTGTCCAGCCAAACCTTGATTATGTCACACGGTACTAAAGTGACTGTAGATGGGTCTTCTTGGCAACTTGTTCGTCATAGACTAAGTTCCCTTACACTATGAGAAATAAGCTCAGGTATATACTCACACAATCACCATGCCTTCGTTCAGCTCGTTGGAGTTTTCAGCTATGGTCAGGAGGGAACGAAGGTATAACTTTCCATCTTCTCCATCTTGATGAACAATCGAGAGGACTCATTCCTGGAAATTTTCGAGTTTTCTTATTTCCTCTGCCTTACAATTCGTAACGCACTCAGATGGTGAACATAGATTTTGCACAGTATCTACTTACTCATTATACGCCGTGATGAGAAGAGTATTTTACATCGTGAAAACCACCTCACAACTGATATGTCAATTTATCGCGGTCACTATTTCCATTACCTCAGGTCACCTCAGTCAGACAGATGATTTATTTTCGTGTCCGTAGACCTCCGACTGTCATGACTTCAAAATGAGTCGTTGAGTGTGTCATGGCAACCGTGCTACAGTCACTTAACTCTCCTCACGCTAGTGGGCCCTCATACTGGACATAAAGTTGAAAAAAGGCACGATAACCTTATAACAGCGTATATGCTTCGCTGATGATCGATACAAATTTGCCGGTCCACAAAGCTTGAATGTGGTGGCGAAAAAGGTCTGTGTAAGACCCTGAAGATGGAATGTGATTTCGAAAGAACAGGATCGGCGAGCATCCATCCAGGGCCTGCTGAGACAGCNTCGAACAGTATGAGTTTCAACAAAGACCGTGAATTTCGCCGCCTGCTAAGCCGTTTTCATCGCGGGCACTGTTTGTGTACTGTGGCAACGGGCGAAATGACCGAAGACGTAGCTACACGTGCTGGTTTGGTGCCATCCCACGCCTATGCAATGCTGGATATACGGGAGATTGATGTGAGTCACACTATCCCCATTACTTAAATGTGCTTACACTTTTATGTTCATCAAAGTGCTTTACAATTAATTGACAACTTCCCACATCCTTTACACGCTACCAACCAACCTCTGATGAACTGTGCTCATGAGGTGACTGCTAATCGATTTCATCAGTTGTACTCCTTCCCGTATTTTTCCAAGTGTGGGTTGTACGATGATTCCTTGATTTGGTATCCAGTACCTCTGGGGGCCCTCAATACCTCAGTGGTTAAGGTGTGAACTTACTAACTGAAGGCCAACGGTTCGAACCCAACCTCGGCATCTAGAATGCTCCTGCCTAGGCCCTCGTGCTTGATTCGAGTGACCCGGCAGCCAGGCACCGAAAGGGCGTTGCAGCCGAACAACTACCGTTCCTGTCAGAAGCTCCCACATGAATCTTGTGATCACTAGTTTCGCGCTTCGAAAAAAATGTCGGTATCACCTACAGGCGTGACAACGCTAGTTGGCTTATTCCAAGGTGATGCTGAAACTCAACTCCTCGTTTATCGGTTTCTTTTATGCTACCGTTAGACGACCGTGTTAGCTACATCTCCAGAGTAAGATGCACAGCAGAGGATTGCGTATAGACCGATCATAGACCGTACAGTATGCCGAGAGGAAAGAATAGTCAAACGACAGGTTTTTTCAATGGATGAGCCCGGAATCATCGATAACTGTGTCTCAGCCCTCAATGACTGTAAATTAATCAGTAACAGATACCCAGAAACGAAAACGTTGGTCAGCAGCGAATGTCACAAACGCAGGTAAGTTGACCGAATGATTTCTGCAGTGTGCTCATGTGAAGTGGGAATGCACCACCGAAAGTCCAACTGACTGTCAACAGCTGTTTTCCATCCTCTTCGTTAACGGTGAGATGGCCCAAGTGATTAGAGCGCAAATTTACCGACCGGAAGGTCCGTGGTTCGAACCCGACCTCTGCCTCTCGACTTCCCCTGTCTAGCTTTGAGCGACCTCGTAGTATCCCAGCTCTGGTGCTTCCTTCGGGTAGCATGGCAGCTAGTCACCGGGTGTTACAGCTGAACGATTTTCTAACGGCAACAGGAGCTTGGATCTTACAGCCATTTTTACCGTCTCTCTAATGTTTACACTGGAAACCATATTCTTCTTGATACGCTGATCATGCACAGCGCTATTTCGAGGCTGGTTACACTCCATAGTTGATATATTCACTGGCGCTCTGGTTTACCTTGAAAGGAATACGTTAAAGGTTAAGCGGCCGAGCACATCCTTACATTATCCCATTGCACTCAATACGTGACTTCTTCCCTACATATACCAGCTTTTTATGCATATCTTTCCAGGACAAGCGGCTTTTACTGCTGAAGAATCCCTGGAGTCACTTGCGCTGGAAAGGAAACTTTTCTGAACATGATTCACGCAACTGGACCCCTCAACTACAAGCCAAACTGAACTACGACCTTTCTTCGGCTCAGGCTGTGGATAACGGGGTGTTTTGGATTGACTATGACTCAGTTTGCCACTACTTTGACGTCTTCTATGTGAACTGGAATCCGGAACTGTTCCAGCACACGACCTGTGTCCATGAGTAAGTAGTGTCTGGAGCATTGTGACGGGCACTCTGTCCATTTTAGAATCCGAGCATCATTTGGGAATGGTCCCCTCTTTCGGCGTGCATTGTACACTTTCAAAATGCGAGTCTTTAGTTCACATCTTTCGACTCAGTTGTGTCTCTTTGAAACCTAACATGATGAGTTTTAGTTTCTTAGGCAATTTGGTGATCTTCACAGCTGTGTAAGCCACGACTGTACGGTGGCGGAGGAATTTCGCAGCACGGGCCGTAGCTGTCACTCTGCACTATTCTTGCTGTCAATGGGAGGTTTCACTGAAGTCAGATGACCTTGTTTACACGGTCATCCGTTTACACTTGGCCTCTCCAATATGAAAGCAAGGGAACTTCAGAACGACAGTCGACATGCTCGCCTGATGAGCTCTAAAAGTGACGACTGCTGAAGAATCCCTGGAGTCACTTGCGCTGGAAAGGAAACTTTTCTGAACATGATTCACGCAACTGGACCCCTCAACTACAAGCCAAACTGAACTACGACCTTTCTTCGGCTCAGGCTGTGGATAACGGGGTGTTTTGGATTGACTATGACTCAGTTTGCCACTACTTTGACGTCTTCTATGTGAACTGGAATCCGGAACTGTTCCAGCACACAACTTGTGTCCATGAGTAAGTTGTGTCTGGAACATTGTGACGTTATCACGGGCGCTCTGTCCACTTTAGGATGGACATTTTAGAATGGTTCCCTTTTTCGGCGTGCATTGTACACTTTCGGAATGCGAGTCCTTAGCTCACACTTTTCGAATCAGCTGTGCCTCTTTGAAGCATGATGAGCTTCCGCTTCTTAGGCAGTTTGGTGATCTTCAAGCTGTGTAAGCCACGACTGTACGGTGGTGGAGGAATTTCGCAGCACGGTCTGTATCTGTCACTCTGCACTATTCTTGCTGCCAGTGGGAGGTCGGATGGGTGGGAAGTCGGATGGCCTTATTTACACGGTCATCTGTTTACACTTGGCCATTCCGATATGAAAGCAAGTGAACTTCAGCACGACAGTGGATATGCTCGCCTGATGAGCTCTAAAAGTGACGAAACTCAGGTGCAGTGTCGAGACAGTTAGAGTGTCCACACAAGGTCTATAAACTATGCACCTGTTCACATCTCGTTGAAATTCAATCTTCACTATCTCGCCTCATTTGCGATGAATACCTGTTCTCTTTGCTTGATTGATCCCTTGGTTTACAACCTCGAACTATTTCCTGCCTTATCCTCAAAGCTGGCTTCGTGTCCGAATGCCAGGAGGTTACTGCTCCCCGCTGAGCATTGTGAGCTAGTTTTAGGGTCCAGTTTTCCACGTCAAGTATACCGCGCTTTTGTTGTTCGTGCAAAAGGCATCTTATATCATTCCCTGGTGTCTTATTTGACAAGCCGAGCTATGGAACGAAGTCGGGTATTCAAGTTGGGTTCAAATAGAACATAAGGTTGATGGAAACTCGGGGACTGCGCCTACCTGACAACCCTGTGAGTAGTTTCCTTCATGAAAAGTCGGGTGTTCTCCACTGTCGGTATAAAACCAGTGACGTTCTCTGTTCAGTGTTGGAGAAAGTGCAATCGCTGGGCAACGACAAAGACTTCAGTTAGACACTTATGCTTTAGGTACGCAGCCCGCGCTATGCCACCAGAAGAAACTCTGAGTGGTATTAGTCCACCAATCACACTCCATCTAATATTGAGTAGATGGCATCTTTTCCACAATGGCGAAGCGTAGCACTTTGAACTCTGTGTTTATTCCCACAACCGGTTTTGAATTCTTCTGACCATGAGACGCAATGTATCCTTACTTAAAACTGTGTGTGTTAGCTACCATTGAAGGGAAGAAGGCCTTCGCTGCAGAGTTGTTTATTAGAGAAACATTAACTGAACAGTTACAGATTGTTGGATAGGGAAGCGAAACTCTCATATGCATTTTCTCCTTGAACGCGTCTTTTTGAACTTTCCTGGATATTCATTGACTGTGACTGAAATGCAAGCAAATGCTACAAAGCGACTGCACAAATTCCGTAATAGATCTCACTTTTCAAGAGACACGAAGCGGATTTACGAGAAAACCACATACTACTCGCATGTCCCACCAGTAGTATCCACCGTTACACCATGTCCTGTTTCTGTGTTTCACAACCCCTGCTTGCAGCATGTGGCTTGCTCACGATGGCCCGAAAAAGGATTCCTATTCCTGTGCAAACAACCCACAGTATAACCTTGAAGTTCAAGCAACCGTTGAGGCACCCGTATGGGCACTGCTTACGCGACATATTACAGACAAAGTGAGTCTTGGATTACCCCAGTCAGTGTTTTTCTTAGTTTAGCATACCGCAGTGTCATCCTTGAGTCCCATTTTTTTCCACTGAGTCATCTGTGCGGTTGTTCTGAATCATTCACATACTTCTCGTTACAAACTGTGCCTCCTTTAGAAGATCCAGTTATTGTACGGTTAGCCTTAATGGTCGGTGAATTGCAGGTGCTACGGGCACCGCTGTATCGTGCAACACGTTTGGTCGATTCAGGGAAATGTGTAGCTCCCCGCTTTACACGACCAAGAAATAACTACATTTTCCAGGAAAATATTACTACCAACACATCGTACCCCTGTAGGTCAGTCAATCTACCTCAAAGAGGGGGTAAGGTCTCAAATGCAAGTTTTGTTGTTCAAGCCCATTCCTCGCTGTCCGACCGCCCCTCTCTGGGCTTCTTAATTTGGTAGTATTTCAGTTCTCAGGCTTTCTTTAGGTTACAAGGTAGCGAAAAAACACAAAAGCCAGACTATTTGGTTTACATTTTGGAATATTTTCGGTTGATTAGTCGTTACACCGTTTATTGACAGTGTGTCAGATTTCAAACCTCACCGAGGTGTCATCTGTAACGACAGCTTCCAGTCTGTGATTCTAACGCATTCGGATGCTTATTATTAATGTGAGTCGACATATGTTGACAGCCCAGAGTTCCCGTAGGGATGAAATCGTCGCCAACACAAAGTGATAAAATGACGAGTGGATTGGCACCGAGCAGGTACATAGATAGATAGTCTTTACTGTGAAGGCTGTTGCCATGTGGAACCTTCAGGTAGACCAAATATCAAACCTAAAGTTATGGATTGAGAAAACTCCTGCAGTAAACTACCGTGCACGCAGTTCATGAAGGTCGTATGTGTGCACATTTTCTCTCCAAGCCGCATACTTCTTTGACTTAGGGTCGTCAATCTTCCTAGGGTTATCGCCCTTTAGCAGCTTTACGTTCTAGTTATTTCTAATGGGGGCTTTTGACCTAATCATGGAATGACTCTGCGTCTTTCCAGCATCAGTGTGAAATTCCCAAGCTTGTCTCTGTTGGTTGATTTAGTTCGGTCCCCGTCATTTCTTTTCCTTGGTCTGATTGTTTTGTACTCAAACACAAGATGTACTTTCAGGCCAGTGAGGCACCGATGTTACAGAGGGAATACTCACCATGGTGTGGTTGGATAGGTCAGTCATTCATAACCAAGGAAACGACCCCTTTGTATTGGAATCGCCAGAACCACCGTCGTATGGCGTTACGAAGCGACTTGTTTTATATGGAAAGTTTAAAGTCGAAGCAGCCTAGAAGAATATTATATAGTACATTATATTATACTATATATTATATTATATTATATATTATAACCGGACGTTCCGGATGGCGCGAACAATATTTTCCAAGGTTTCTTTTTGCAACTGATTAAAAATGGGTCAAGTACGGCTTTTTTTCAAGAGTTCACCTCTAGGTCTTCCGACTGGTGTGTTCTTGAAGTCAGTTATAATTCCAAAATTTTCTCTCTACTGTGTACCTCACGGTGCTCAGTTTATTTGATAAGATGCGAATTGGGCGACGTCAAGATGTATGTATGACCAGTACATAACTTTCGTTCTAACGTGGCGACCACAACATGGCCAGTTCTATTTCCCCAGGTTACTTAGGCCTTCTAACAGCGGCCCCACACGCATCTTAACAAATCGCTTATTCTGGCATTCACGGCCCGGGGCTTATCTTATCCTGAAATAGAGAAGTAATAAGATGGTGTGATTTCTTACTCCGGTACTTGTTCTATCTCAGCTAGCATGCTAGTTTCCAGTGGCAATCTCCGCAGGTTGAAGCGCCTTGGAACTCGATTTGCAACGGTTTCCAAACCGTTGGCTTGTGGTGTTAGTTTTTACCAAGATATCGATAATCATAGTTGGACTTTCTGGAGCATGTGCCACGTTGCGTAAATAACCGACGCTGTTACCTCAACTTACCGGACAATAACAGAGTTACACCCATAAGTCAGGAACGATTAGTCAGAAATTGATCGCTTTTTGATTAGCATCACGCATTTTACAGAGGTGGCTTTTTCCACAATGCATCAAAATTGCAACCATTTTGCTGACGGTTTTCAATTTGGGGCTGGATCCGTGATTTTCGAGTTTTGTGTAAGCTGACTACCCATCTGCCTGCTGGCATGCTGATGAGTTAAAAAAGGGTCCTGTCTGTGATAGCTTTCATACTCAGCTATGGCAATATGAGCTTTCAACTGAAGATGTATCTATTCCCGAAAAGAATCCAGTTCACGGAAGTGGACACCACATTTCGCGCTCAGTACACCAGCAGTACAAAGACGCCGAAAGCGGCTGTCAGTTAATACGCTGCGCACCTCACTCATAGTATTTTCGTGCAGCAAAACTGTTGTAGCCAGCCAATGTCCTCGTTGCTTGGCCTACAGCCAATCTTAGCTACTCAACCTAATGTTTACGGCCCTGCGCCTACCTGATCTACCTCTCTGTGATTGACGTACCTATTCCCAGGTGGCGTTTTCTGTTTCCATATGTCCCACTCTACGACCTCCCACCCGATGCCGCATGACATACCTGTTTGGTCCCCACAAGTTGAAGGACTAATACTGAAGTTCCTCGCGATAGCTCAGTTATTCAGGTCCTTACTTCGACCTCATTTCTAGCTCTTCGATTGCTCCTGTTTATGCTTGGACAACTTGAATGTTTCTCAGCTCTGTTTCATGGCAGCTCCGTGCATCAAAACAATGTGACAGCTGAATATTCTGATTTTCTACCGAAGTAACGTAAGGCCCCTAGTTGTGTTAGGCGGAATTCCACATGGATCCCGCTTTACCGCTCGCAGTCAGGTTCTGCTACGGCCGAGAAGCCTATCCCACGCAAGATTGGCCAAAAATTCGAGACGCTTGCTGGTCCGGCATCAAGCCGAGATATGAGTGGTCGAAAGTCTGAACCTAACAACCAATCATGACCCAGCATTGGGCGAATGCCGCTGGCACATCCAGAACGCGTCAGAATTTCCAGAAGGTTGTAGCTGCTTACGCTATATATGCGAAGCGCTGTACAAGTGTTCCTGACTTCGTTTTGGGTGTTAATATACCTTGTGCATCTTTGGTGGTTGTTAGCTTGGGAGGCTGAGACCGAGAACTAAGGTGAGAAAAACACCGTTACTACAAGTTGTATCCACTTATTCCGGTAGTGGACTAGTGCCCCCCAACCCAACGAGAGGAACGATCACGAACTTTTGAAAAAGGTATCTTCAGAGCAGTTTCTAAAAGGTCACTGAGGTTGATCCACCAGTGATTGATTCTAGAGGGATATGCAACTTTGGATGCAGGAAATCGGGATCTTCATCTGAGTGTATGAGTTTCCAGAAGATAAACGGGAAAGCACAAAAGTCCAAATAAACTGAGGGAGAAAACGAGGAAGTCGTTCCCAATGTCAATTTTGGTTCGGTTCCTGGAAGCGATGTGCTACGTTCCTTCGCATGGCTGTCACCTCAAAGTAAAAAAAAGATAAACTTCAAAGGGAATCCGGGGGAAAAATCTAAGTTCTTTCACCAAACCGTCTTTTAGCTATTGACCTAGTATTATAGGATTGAACTCATGAGTTTGTGTGCCGGTCTTCCAATTTATTCTTCTGATCTTCCCCAACTTTTCCTCAGATGTTCCTCCCCATTGAGTTGTAAATCACCTAATCGTTGATTTGTGCCCAAATTTCTGTCCGATAAAATAAATCAAAAATGAAAACGATGAAAAGCTAGTCGAAATAAATCTGTATCAACTTCAAAAAATCTTTTTCACATTGTTGCTTTCCACTTAGGTACGCTGAATCAACTTGCGTAACAGGTATTTCCCCCAGACCCCGTTATCTCTTCCAATCCGTTTGTCTCTTCATTCCATTTGATGTAATTTCCAACCGAAATTCCTGTTCTTCACAGGAAGATTTTGCGGACAACAAGGAATTCATTGCTCTTGTGGTGTACAAGGACATCAAGACTCGCAAGGTTTACTGTCCGTACGAAGTGGAACCCTTTCGGGATTCGGTTCGTGCCAATAGCCCACATTGTCTCGTGCAGTTCCTACAAGATCCCGGTACCGCCAACTACACGTTCGTCGTATCTCAGTTCGAGAAGAATAACACCATCCGGTACACCTTGAGGGTCTATTCGACAGCTCCATTCGTTCTGAGTAAAATAACGGATCCATACAAAGTGGAAAAACAGGTAAATGATTTGATTCCGTTCAAATGTGACACCAATAACCTACTCGTCATTAGCGAAGTGCAGACGATTCCTTTGAACGTTGAATACTACTCATGAGGTTGCTGAAAACGAGAGATGCAGCTAGAATTCAGCGGAATCTCTCAGTAAAATCAGATTAATTCACAAATTAGTGTATTTCACGTAGGCTACTCTTGGTCGTATCAACCTTAACGCATCATTTAAGCGAGATATTTTATTAGGATACTCGACTCTGAATCCATGGATCAAGGCTTTCAGCGCACACCGCCTCAGTTGACGCGCCGTACTGTATGTTACGGCACGGCTGTTATCGACGTTAACGTCAGTGTTGAAGTGCTTTGCTGCAGTGCCATGTCAACGTGTTTGGAGAAATCCTTGAAATGGCAGAGGGGTCCAGCACCAGCCTTGCTCTCGGCTGTTATCGACGTTAACGTCAGTGTTGTAGTGCCATGTCAATGTGTTTGGAGAAATCCTCGAAACGGCAGAGGGGTCCACCACCAGCCTTACTCAGACGTACGAAGCTCCCACATCACCACTCAATTTGACATTGACACCAACATAAAGCAGGACAGCGCACATGTTCGCCACACTAATCCCAACAGTTGCGTATTCGAACACGAGTTTGTGCAAGTTGTAAGATGCGTACAAGAAGGAAACAGTTATGCAGTGCTTTTCGAAAGACTTTTCCCAATATACTCAGTGGTTCTTCGGATACCCACACTCTTCCTCACTCCTCTACTCACCTCGGACAGGTCACTGGACAGTGGAAAGGCGCCAACGCTGGTGGTTGTCAAAATCACCCGGACACTTATGACCGAAATCCCTGTTACCAGATCAACCTGTCCAACAACGAAGTGGACAATCAGTTACTCGTGGAAATGCGTGGTCCCAAGTTAGTGCAATTAGCTTTAATTAAGAGTAAAACTTTCTCTTTTCTTATCCCTTTCATGAGGCTTCTTGGGTTTGTATCCTGCGGAGCGTTTCAGGTCTTTTAAAGACAAAAAGTGCCCGAAAAGTGGGAACTCTTAGGCTTTAAAAGGATCCTTCATCCTGAACCACTCGGACTGCCGAACCCGTTTTCACACTCATCGAATCCATCGATCGGCCTGTTTGTTCATGTCTTTGGTGCTCTCATCTGGTTTAGCGTTCCTCTTGAAGTGGGACGTCCGCTGATGTGAGACACCATGAACAGATAAGTTTTGGATATTGAATCGTACGAAGCTGTCCCAGCTGCTCCATCGAGCAATGAACATCTATCTCATCGAGCCAAAGAACTAACTCACTCGGTACCTTTGTACCCCTGTAACTTAACGCGCGTAGTTCTTTGCCCTGTTTTGTACATGCGAAAAGTGAAGATTTATCACCATTTCAGTCGGCAGATCATACTGTGGTGCTGCCCCTCAGTACAGTTATTTGCACTAGGAGGGAGAGGTTTCTCCTCCAATGGGAGATAGACGCCAGCTTTTAACATAAATGAACATGGTTTTGATTGATCGGACAGTGGACCTATCTTTGATTTGTAATATACTACTCATAAGGTTGCTGAAAGTCCGTCGACAGCCCACGACCGGTTTCGCCCTTTTTGGGGCTCATCAGGTAGGCCCAGTTCCCGGGTTTCCGTCAACCTTAGGTTCTAGTTGAGACCAAATTGCACGAAATTAGCGAATATACACTCATTTGCAAACTAATTTGGTTATTTCGAGAGACGCACCTGGAACCCAGCTGAATCTTTCGTTTTTGATGTTCTCAGGCAACTGAATGTGCCGCACCAGGCCGCCTCATGTTTCCTAGTTGGGTGCACTACCGTCGAGTCCGTAAACGGTAATAATTCAAGGTTGTCTGGAAGACTCTGCTGCATGCAGTGACAGCGAATCTTGTTTGTATCCTCGTGTAACGTTTCTAGAGTCCAGTATCTTGAGACGACACCGCCGTTTCACTACGTTTTGAGTGACGGAGACGACACAACTGGTCTATTTACAACCACACATCCGGAAATCATTGTATAGTCTCTTCAGTGAACCTCGGGACCTCAGGAAGCACCATCTAGTGTATCGGTACTTTCTCCTCCGACACTGTCCTGTTGATCGTAGTGGGTTCAAGCAGTTAAAAGCGATTTCGAGCTATTACAGAAAAGTTGAGAATGACGACGTCAGAAAGTAGGGGACAAACAGGTAACACAGATTCGCGGGGCCCGCCGAGTGCGAATGACAACGATATCGTCAATGGTTGGTAACTTTATGTGAATTTTCTTTCGTCGACAGGAAGCTGGAGAAGTTTCGGATATTGTTCAGCGTGACCGTGACAACTTTCCAATATCTCCGTATAGCGTCAGTCCACTGAGAAAAGCTGAGAGATGTTTTACTTTGTTTAGTCCATTTTGGGAACAGTCAGTTACAGTAGCAAACTTGAACCAGAAACCACCGGTCTAACTGATCTTGACTTTTCAAGATAGCGCCACTCGTCCGCAATGTCACAGATGCATCTCACGTTAACTAGCTTCGGTTGCGTCATTGTGTGACCACCACTTGCAGCTAGGTGCACACAATTTGATCAGGTTATGATCTCCTCTTTGGTTTCATGACTAGCGTAGCGTCGACGACTCCCGAGAAGAACGACAAAGGTGTACAATATTTATAGGCTTCTGAGCATGGATGAACATTACTTGCAGGATTAAACCTCCCCACTACTTCTCGAAATCCACAGTTTTCAATTCGGTCTTGAGCAATTGGAAGTGTGGTTGAGTTCGATTTACCTATTCCACGTTTTCTTGTTCCTATTCATTTGCGTTGTTGTGGTTGGAAATTCCCACTCGCCATCTACAGCAATGGCGATAAGATTAAAGAGCTTTACTAGACAACTTCCATGTGGACATCTGGCACTTAAAAATTGGGTTCTAACTGGCTGTTGACCTAACCAGATAATCAACTGATTACTAATGAGTAGACAAGATGTTTTCATCTGAACAGTCACGACCCTTGCGAAAGGTATTGGGATTTTACTGGATTTTTGGTTCAATGTGGTAGGAACCCCAAAACGCAGCCATACAAACGCCTTTGTTTCTATCAAACGGGCGTGGAGTGTCGAACACGTGAGCCTTTGATCAACAGCACCGGGCCGTCGCCTGTGTGATTCTCGTCTACCGGCCACTTTGTGCAGCTAGTGAATATGATTTTTTATGTTATTTTTGGCCTACACGGCTGTTGACTTATTCAGATAACCAAGTGATTACCACTGAGTAGCCAAACCGCGGCTAAGCTTCTCGGGATTGCCGTTTTACTTCCCGAAATTGTCTTTTAGTATTGTTCCTTTCCGGCCGTGTTCACTAACATGGATTTACCAAACGTATAGCTACCATAGGAGTTGCACATTCCAAATAACTACATCACTTCGTAACCAATCGGAGCTTTCCAAGTTGCGTAAACTGTCTCCACTGTGTGCTGTGTTTGTTTGTTGTCATATATGATGGCTCCCTATTGAGCGCCCTTCTAAGAGAGGTCGAATACATAATATCACACTTGCCTTGAAGGATTACCACAAAAAAATCGTTCTTCTGTACCATCCTTTCGATGCCTAACCGCCGTTTAACCAGAAGGAAGCACGAGAGCTGGGATACTGCCAGGTTGCCGAACCTGGACAGGGGAAGTCGAGGTGCAGAGGTTGGGTTCGAACCACGGACCTTCTGGTCAGCAAATTAGTTCTCTAACCACTAAGCCATTTAGCCCAACTTACCGCTTATTTAATGTCTTTCTCATTCAGAGACTATGCGATCGGCTGTGAACTCATCAAAGTTTCTGCTACAAACCCTGCTGCCCCAAACCAGATGGAACGCAAATCCTCTGGAAGTTATCGGTGAGTCTGATGCGGTTTTCTTTTCGATATCCGGTATGACAGGTTTGCTATCCAAACACGAAGGAAATGAAGTCATTCATCCACTTGTGTGACGAATTTATTGGGTGATAATCACCACACCTCCAAACGTTGTCAATGTACTAAACTCCTGTGGAGCTAACCGTTCATGTGAGCCCAGAATAGAACAAATGTCTCTTCACCACAAATTTATCTACGTACATCCTTTTATACTTCCCAATATGAACTAATAGCTAGCCTAATAGGCCATCATCTGACAGTTTTCCGTGACGCTCTTTGCCACTTCCTTGGTACAGTCCTCTCAACAGGAACGAGTCACGAGGCGCCTTCAAAACCACTAGCGTTCCATATGTGAACCGTATTTTTGAGGAAATGACGTTCTGACGACATTAGCTGTTCGTCACTGTCTGTTTTTATCGCTTTTTCACCGCCTTACACTCAACGGCACTGAATCCGCAGTTTGCCATCATAGCGCTTCCCACTAAATTCCCAGACCCCGAACGCCAATCCGTTTTACACACCGCAGACTTATTTGGTTTGCGAAGAAATACGTCAAAAAGGATGACAGCTCGAAACGAACACGGACTGTTATAATCCCTACCATCTTTACACTCTGTTACCATTCCACTCGAAGTGGGACGATCCGAGACAATATCTCGCCAGCAAGTTCCAGCCGGGCAGCTTCCTTTTCCCTTTCCGAAGCTTGTCACTGGTCGACGTTCCGTTTGTTAACGTTGTGAATCCCCAGAATCAACTATCCATGTTAGTCAGCCTACCCGAGAGTTTTTTTCCAGAGAAAACACGGTCTTGTCTTGTGGTAATTTAGGCTGGAATGTTAGCAGTAATTATTGTCTAGTCAAGTCGGAATTTTCTCTCCTACTTTTTAGACGGGGCTACGTTGCGCTCGAACAGGCAGGGCTTTCCGGAGGAATATACAACCTCGTCGTGTCCACTTACTATCCTAATCAAGAAGGCCCTTACATTCTAAACTTCAAATCGTTGCGGCCATTTACTTTGAATTGTATTCGTTGATGCCGTCGGTCGGTCTGTCTGTCTGTCTTTACCGTGTCTTTCACGCGCCGTTATGAAAGATTTCCTCTTTGTGTATCCAATAACTGACTACTATTGTTGTATTTGGAAAGGACGTTATGCTTTTCTTCGTATAATAATTTTTCCTTGATCTTGTCTAGTGTGTCTTTTTGAGAATAATGAAGTAGCATGTACCATTCAGTAAGCGTCTGAATTCTAAAGTAGATAAAGGCATTCTCGAGATGAGAACACGGTTGTCGCAGTGCCGCCAAAACTTTGTGCGATGGAAGGATTCCGTCATCCTTTCACCACTGCTGGCCGAACATTCAGCAACATTCCCAACGTCTTCGGAATTCGCATCCAGTTGTTAGTTTATCAGGGGGCTGTTGGTCTGTCCGCCTGATTCGCAAACGTTTCTTCACTATTCGGGTAGGCATCAGTGAGAGGTTGGGAAGCGACTCTCTTCGTGTCTGTGCTTAAACAGTTTGTAAAGAGTGCTGACCTGATTGGCTGTCATCGCGATCTGAGTCTGATTGGTACGGTTAATGATCCAGCTGTGAAACGCTCTAAGGGATGTCTTTTAAATCTCGATTTTTTGGAAGGAGTTTAATCAACTACCAAGGTTTCCCGCAAGGGTTGCGTTGAGCTCCTCAATTCAATTCATCAGCTATAAACCGTATACCATAGGCACATTGGTTCCATGTGCTACAGTTTCGGTCACCGGAAAACGGGAAAGTGGAACATATAACCAAGCCTTGGAGGCGAAGGTGTTTAGTTTGTTTGAAAATTGGGTAGCTGCGCATGATGCACGAGCGCCACTGACCACGCGATTGGGTTATTTCTGCCACAATCAGTAACCATGGATGATTTGAGTCCCGGGGTAGCCATCCAGGGAGGCGGCAGTTGCCGACCCGACTAAGTTTACAGGTTGGTGTTTTCGAACTTCATTGCCAAGTCATACACTGTCCACCTCTCGGTCGGTTCCACGCGCTACAGGGCTGAGCGAAAACAGCTCTGTAAGGCACACGATCTTCTGGCATGCGGAGCACCTGTTCTAACCGGCGTAACCTATGAAGCGAGGTCCATCCTGATAAGCAGCGTAGCCATGCTTATGCAAAAGCCACTGATACTTGGTCGTTCAGTGTGACTTGACCTGGTATCTACTTCTGAGCGTGTAAACTGCAAACGTTGTGGAAATAAACTCAACACCGTGGACCCCGTGGGTAGGAGGTCAATAAAATACTAATTGAACGTACTTCAAGCGAGGCAATGCAGGTGTAACAAAATCAATCGCTAGTACAAAATGGCAACTAATGCTTATTATGTGATCGAAGGTGGACTCTGAAAACAGTGGCTTTTCGTTCATTGTTGATTAGTCATATGTACTAATTGAAGAACCCATCCGATAGGGATCGTACGAATCGAGACGAGCAACACAAGGCCTAGTGAATAACGGTTTAGAGGCAGATCCTTAAGTCATCCAGTAACAAGTGCGAACAACTTGGAGGCCTCACTGGTCTGTAAAGGTCGACTCAGCGTCCTTTTCAGAATCGTGCGAGATTCAAAGGACCTGTACACTCGCATACTGTATTAGGTTATAGATTAAGTGGTGCAGGTCCCCGAAAGACCGTAACAGGGAGGGGGGTGGAAACTACTTCAACACTGGCAAAGGAAAGCAATATGCTTGGAGCAATACTTTGTCGAGTACCTTCCAGTCGCAAGTCTCATAACACGAAACATTTCACAGCTAGTACGGAGGGAGCAAGCACTTCATGCTGATCAGTGTACATATAGTGACCTAGTAAACCGCTCTGACGACGATGATTTAATGTGTTGCATAACTAAAAACGCTTCATGACAGGTGAACGAGGTCGCCGCTTCCCAGTGACGAATTCGAAAGCTTACGTCGATACAAGAACCGAATAAAGCCAATGTTTGTTCATCGACGGCGATCACAGGCAGTAAGTGCTGTCGCTTACATGCCATGCGACCATGAGGAGCTTCCAAGTAAAGAATAATGGTGGTGAGTTCTACAGCAACTGCCCTGAAACACCTAGGTCATTGGTAAGTGGACACAAGTGAGCCAGGTAGTTCCATAGTTCTCCCAAGAGTGAAGTGATCCAAAGGTTTATCGACCGTACCGAGTGTACAAACATCGTTCCGTCAGATGTAGTCCATACCGAGCAGGTGGAAAAATACAGGTGGACCTCATGATGCGGCCGTAATGCTGTCGCCTTCAACTCGCACCAACCCAATCGTCAGCAAAAGCTTAAACCAGCTTACTTCGGTGTGTGGCACATAGCTGTCAAATTGGGCTGATTGGACCTATTAAAAACGCAAGGGACATGCGGTCCAATCAGGTTTCTCCGCAATCAAAATCTGTCGTCGTTTACTTTAACTTCGAATGTAAAACTGATAGTTGGACGGAGGAAACAGCAGAACGAATCGACAGCCTTTTCCACAAGCTTTTGCAATCATTTGTCCTACGCAGCAGCTCGATCAGGCTTCTACTAACTTGCCGTTATGCGTGTGCTCGCTTTGGCGGTACAAATGCTAAAATTGGAACGTTGAAGAGAATGTTTGGATGGCCCCTACGCAAGAGTGCATGCGAGATCGAGAGGCTTCCTATTTTTGACCTCGAGATAGCTCAGCAGTTAAGTCACAACCATACTGACCAGAAGAACAGAAGTCGGAAAGCAAGTGCAGTCTTTCAATATCTCCTGTCTAGTCTTGGGCAACCTGACAGTATCTTAGCTCTTGTGTTTCCATCGGTAAAATGGTAGCCAGGCAACGAAAGGGTACTACACCTGAACTGTTATTCTTCTGTTTATGCGTCACGATTCCAATATACAGTCTTCACCTTTCATCAGGCTTGAATTCATTCTGCTGATGTACATAAAGTGATTCGACGGAAGTCTGCTTTTTGTCTCTGATGCGCTCTGCACTAAAATACGGGTGTCATATGTGGAACCGGGACTCTCATTCCGGTGTCTTTACAGTCGGTCAGTCCTTTGTGGTTATTCTCTGGACTCCATTCTACCATTGGAATCACGACGGAAACTCCTGTTAGCAAACTTTTTCCCTTAAATCACCGAACTTGCCATCGGTACATCACTTTGTTCTGTTCGTCGCGCCGCAAACCCCTTACCCAAAAAGGAGCCGAGGGAGGCGATTTTTCCATTATCTTGAATTTTTCAAATTCCACATTAGAGTTTATCTAATGAATTTATCCTAAATGTAGAGTCCGGTTTATGCGGATGCACTTTTTTCACAGTCGATTATATGTATAGCAGTTCGGAACCCAGAAGCGAGACGAGGGCAGCGCACCCACGGTTGCAAAAAGTATGGTGAAGCACGATTAGAGGAACGGATTTCAAGTTTGTGGTGAGGAATGATGCGAGGATGGTGAGAAACACACACACTGGGTGTGCCAAGCAGTCGGATTTCAACTGTCTCAGCTAGTTATCGAGGTGAGACATGAGCAAGCGACGAAAGAACATGGTGAACTGAGTCTACTAAGGTATACTCTCTATGAACAGCGACAACCCAACGGAGCTACACCCAGCCCACTAACGGGCATAGGCATCTGTGCGTAACTTTTAAAAGTGCTATCATTCGGCACTGTACCCTTCTATATTGGCTATGTCCTAAAACGAGGGCACACGCTGTCTGTCAGCTGGGGCGGTGTGGAACAGCGAACAGCCTTGGTATTCGTATTATATGGCAACCCAGCTTGTTCACAAACGGAGTGCTTTAGGAAGTAGCGTGACCTATTAGAGACTCCGCTACTCTGTTGCGGTGACAGGCAGCAATGTGTGACTGGTGATTGTGGTTATTAGGTGAAACAAGGAAACAAATAAAGTGAAGTTCAGGGGATGGGAGGAAATCTGTACATCAGTTAGGACTCACATCTAGCCTGAAAATCAGCAAGAAGCGTGTCCTGGGCGTCGATCTGAAAACGGAGAATGCTAAAATTAGCGCTGTCTTGATGGATAACCAATTGTTTTTTACCTTTAGTGGAGCCTTGCTAACTCCGACCAAATCAATGTGCTTTATTTTTATTTCCCGACAAAGATTATGGACTAACAGCATCAAATAGCAGCACTGGAAAAATGGGGACATTGTGAGGAGGTTTAGTCTTCCCATAGGTTCATCGATGGGGTTAGGGAAAAATGATCGCTTATCAACAGCATGGAGACGACACGTGTTTCGCCAGGTTGCGGTACTATGACCAGAAGGCCACACAAAAGCCATACAGAATGCTCTGTGAGTAAATCTGTTCGCCATCTTGCATGTGCCAATACCACGTGACAAAACGTCGCATTGATTTTTTCCGAGTCTATTTATACGTTATTGCTGTCCTATCTCACACAGTCTAGATTTGGTTCCGAAAGTGTCAGGAAGCTTTCGATGAAGTCAATTCTACTGCCTAGTGACCTTGACTGATAAGCCATTGCATCGATTGCTCAATGATAACAAAAAGGATGATGTACATTTCATGTATATTCTATACAGCCGGTTTGAAAACACTAGGACAGCTTATGCGTTCCCGCACCAAAACAGGTGTTCCTGTGTACGTGGTTAATGGACCCCACAGATGGTCTACAACATCCCAGACACGGTAACTTCAAGTTCCAGGGAAAAGACGTATTGTCAAGTTTGGGAGCTGTTTTCATTTGCAAAACACCAAATGATGATTTTACTGTCTGATCCATCACCAAATATTCAGATATCCAACATTTACTTCTAACATATTTGTGCACAACTTCCATTGGTATCGTAACGGCAAAAGAGACGGTATCAAAGCTCTTTGTGGGATGCATTAATGACACAACTCGTGTAAAGTCATAGTAACACAGATGACGAAATGAAGGTTTTCACACACAGCTGTTAACGACGGCACAGTGCCACACAACCAGGCGGTGGTTCCAAAAGCAGTAAGACAAACCATTATTTGTCCTTTCTTCGGTTGTTGGTCTTTAGACGCGTGTTTCCATGCCAAAATGTTTACATACGTTGGGACTCATCTCATCTGACTGGAACCGTTGGTGGCATGAATTCGAATGAGACGTTTCTCTATTTTATCTTATATTCTCCTGTTACCCTTTCGCATTCGTCGCTTTCCCTGCGTACTTATGACAC